CATGCTCAAGTGGGTATTTCCAGCAGCAGGACCAAAGCTGTGACATTGACTCATATCTGTCTGTTTGTACAAATGATTTTCATAACTACAAAGACTCAAACTGTTTAAAAGTTTGATTAATTGCTCTCCACATATCAAGCCACAACACTGACATATTACCACCTCATAAAGTCTTATGGGAAATGTGTGAGCAAAACGTTACGGGCTGCACGTCAAACTGACATGAACATTAGCTGCATATCGCCATTTGAAGCAACACTGATGACATATTTGAGAATCTACCGAAACTGTAAAATTGTATGCCAAAGGGGGAAAAACAAAACAGTGAATGAGCTGTAGGGGTGATAAAGCCCTCTACTGAGCTCAGTGAGACCGCAACATTGGGTGATCACGGGGCTTCATATGAGCTTTCACATATAGCAGTCATGTGATCCATTTTATAAAAGAGTATTTGTTAGAGCACATTCAGGTGTAGCTAGATATAATCCTCTTTTTCTCTTTTTTTGTGTCTCCGATTTCACAAAGTGAAAATACACCATGAGTTATTAAAATGGGATTTCATCATAGGATAAAGAATATCTTCCCCACAGTGCATTACTGTCATAAACTTACTTATCATTCAACAAATATGACTTTATTCAGATGCACAATGGACACCTCAGGGCAACCATTTCAATATTATTTGATAAGAGACCTGTGGGTAGTGATGCCTGAAATGATTTGAGTCCGAGTGCAGAAGGAGAGGAAGAGGAAACGGGAGCAACTGTAGCATGCCTTCCTCTTCCTTTTCATCTTTGTCCTGGTGTTTTCGCCTTCCAGTGTTATTTTGCAGATTAAGAAGAAATAATGTGGGTTGTATGCCTTTGTTATGATTTACTGTCAACTTCTCCATTTCCATGTGAGGAACGGTGGGCACGGCACAGCCAGAATACCATTATCAGATCATCAGCTCAGTGTCAGGTATCAGAGGTAGTAAACTCTCTATTTCATCTTCACCACCTGCGGTGTAATGAAATGAGTAGAGAGTGTGGATGGAAACCATTAGCATTGAAGAAGTATGACACGCTGGAGTGAGCATGGAAATGAGCAAAAGACACAGGTGCAGTACAGGTGATTGACAGGTAATCTGATTTCTGCACCAAGAGGTAGCAATGCAATTTAACAAGATATATTTTAATAAAATCATGAAATTCCTGAGTGCTGATATATATTTTTTTTCTCTCATCAAAGTTTCCTATCATCTGCCTTTCCTCATTTTACTGTTTTAGCACTGCGACAACCATCCCCAATACATTTAACTACACATTAGCCCCAAGTTCTATATGCCAGTTCACTTGTTCTGCTGTACATTAGAGAATTACTTAAATATTGAATATTGATCTTGGAGCATGATCTATCTACATTTTGTCCATCAGTACAACATGTCAATTCTCTGTCCACTCTACAGAGTGACAGCTTTAACAAAGGTAGTACAACATTACATTACAAATTAACAAGTGCTCTCCCCCAAAAGGAAAATTGGCAGTGAGCTAGGAAAAGATCTGCATCACATCACAGTATTGCTCTAGCTCTCAATACTTCTGGAGTTCTTGTAGACTTTTCTTTCTCAACATACCATTATATACATGC